TAAATTTTTTTTTTTTATGATATTGTGTTGTAAGTTATATGTTACATGTATGGTTTGCTTTTTAAAAAGTGTCATTGTTGCAAAAATATGTTTTTCCTAATTTTAGTTTCTAATTAAATTAAATATCATATAAGCTAAACATAAAATGGAGTTGTTATAATTTTTTATCCAAAGAAAATTGCTGTGACTTTTTTACCTACTCCTTTAAAGATACATTTTTAAAGTTTTTTTTCCTACTCCTTTAAAATTTTTTTTTTAAAAGTTATTAATATGGGTAATAAATTATTTATAACATAATTTCTAATTTTTAAAATTTAATTTATAAGAGAAGAATTAAAGAGATTATCAAACAAAATTTATTTAATTTTCTATTATCAAATAGTTGAGAAAATAATATAATGAATTTAAATCAAAGAAACCACAAAACACATTTAATCATATATATTAAACTCACACTTTAATATAAAAACTAAAATAACATAAATTTGCATTAACTATATTTTCCATTCAATTTTTCAATACACAATCAATTATACTTGACTCCCATAATTGTTTTATGATATTTAATTACATATTAATTACACAATAATATCATACTCCGCTCTACACTCTTAGTAACTTAACCTCATTTACTAAAATAAATAATAATTTTTATATTCATAATAATACAAATACCTACCCAATTTATTTTCCTAAAGAGACCGAACATATAGTTAGTATTTTTGTCGTGTACATATAATAGATAGATATCGTCATGCACATTTTTTAATAATTTCTTTTTGTATTTACATTTTATTTAAAATCTTATAAATTGATTAGATTTTATTTTTATTTGGTAATTTATATTTATAAATAAAATAATAATAGTAAGCAGAGTTAAAATTTTATTTTTATCAAATGAAAAGGGCAAAAACCTAAAAATTCGCCATCATGTACATATAAAAGATAGATGTCGTAACGAAATTCTTCATTGTTCTCTTTAATTTTGATGTAAACATGTTATGCTATTTTAGTTTGGATTCATTTATTTAGCTTTTATAGTAATGTAAATCTTCATGCATATTTGTTTTAAAAAAATTTAGTAGTCATTTTAAAACTAAACTAATGCTACATTAAAAAGTCTATATATATATATATATATATATATATATATATATATATATATATATATTCTCATCTATCTCCTATGTCAGCTTCCTTTACAATCAAATAGAATATAAAAATATCAAAGTTCTTCTTCTCATGTAATATTCTTCTGTTTATTTGGCTTATGATCTCTCTTTTTAGTTTTTACATAACTATAGTTTAAATGCTTTTATAATCTAAATTGAAAAATCTTTTCTAAATAAAGTTCAAAACAATATATCATATGTTTCAAATGAAATTGTTTAATTTGATATTTTGAAAAGTTTAACTTGATCATTTTAAAAATTTAAGTTACTTTTAGGTTATGATAAAATATAAGGTGAGTAACAAATGCTCATAATTTTGTATGTGCTAATTTTGTATTACTTTGTTTAGATCTCATTCAGTTCTATATTTTCCAAATATACTTTTCGTTTATTTTTAATGTATACAATGTACACAAAATATGTTTTATACTAATTTTGCGATCGCGTTCAATTTTGTTAGTGCGTTAATTATTTTGTTTAAACATAAAAATTAATATTATTTTGTAATACACATAATGAATATAAACATATTATTTTGTTTTAAAATTATTTTCAAAACATATATTAACACTTATCCACACATATATAACTTAATATAATTTTTAATTAATATTTCATGTATAACCCACGCATCGCGTGGACAACTTTCTAGTATGTAATATGACAATGTGTCATCATTTAGTTTAACTCCACATACAGAAAATATAATTAAATGATTAATTTACTGTTAAATTATCAAATTTCATATTGTAAAGAAAATATTTCCGCCAGAGTAACTAAAACGACGTCGTTTACGTGATACCCTTAAATACTGTGAATTTGTGAAAGAACAATTGTGTTTGCTAAACGATGCCGTTTTAGTGGTGAATCTTCGTCTTCTCTCCAGAAACTTCGTCTTCTTCGTGACGTCCGTCTTTTTAGTTACCGTAACATTTTCAGGAATAAAGAAAAACAATCGAATTCGGCTTCGTTTGAGCAATTAACCGAACCCCTCGATCGATTTTGTACAAAAAGTTTTCACCTTTCAACACATCGACATGGCTACTTCATCAGGTTCGTTTCCTTCTTCTTCGTATAGTGTGATATCTCCGTTCTAGAATTTGTGTTAAAGGATTTTGCTTTATCGTTTTATAGATTGAATGGTTTTGGTATTGAAATGGGTATTTGAATAAATGTATAATTTGAATCAAGAAATTGATGTTCTTGGGCATGTAATGTGATTGTGTAGTTGGGTTTAAGTCGAGAGAAGAGCATCGGAAGAAACAAGAATTGGAGGAAGCGCGTAAAGCTGGGCTTGCTCCAGCTGAGATTGATGAGGAAGGGAAAGAGATTAACCCTCATATACCTCAGTATATGTCATCTGCTCCGTGGTATCTTAATACTGAGAAACCAGTAAGTTCATGTTCCTATGTTGTGTTCTGTTCTACATCAAATTTTCTTGTTCTGTGCTTATAGATTGTGTGTGTGTTGTTTTACTCAGAGCTTGAAACATCAGAGGAAATGGAAATCTGATCCGAACTATACCAAGTCGTGGTACGATAGAGGAGCGAGAACGTTCAAGGCAGACAAGTATAGGAATGGAGCTTGTGAAAAGTGAGCAACGTGGTTAAGAAGAAACTCTTTTTGTTGTTGTTTGTTCAGTTTCTTTGATTTGTGTTGTCTCAGGTTTTGAGTTTCTTTGTTTTCAGCTGTGGGGCTATGACGCATAGTACAAAGTTGTGTATTGAGAGGCCAAGAAAGATAGGAGCGAAGTGGACTAATAAGCATATATCTCCTGATGAAAAGATTGAGTCTTTTGAACTTGATTATGATGGGAAAAGGGATAGATGGAACGGTTACGATATGAATCAGTATGCTCGAGTGATTGAGAGGTATGAGGCTAGGGATGAAGCGAGAAGGAAATTCTTAAAAGAGAAGCAACTGAAAAAGTTGGAAGAGAAGAGTAAAAAGCAGCGTGTGGATGAAGAGTCTAGTGATGATGATGATGAAGACGATGCTCTGAAACTTGATGAAGCTAAAGTTGATGAGAGCAAGCAAATGGACTTTGCTAAGGTAGAGAAACGTGTCAGAACAACAGGCGGTGGCAGCACAGGAACGGTTAGGTATGTTTGGTGTTCTGATTGTTGAGTATTTTTTCTCAGTGTTTGAGCATGATCTCATAATATATGGTTTGATTGATGTTTGTGATGTGCTTCTCTTTACAGGAATTTGCGTATACGTGAAGACACTGCAAAATATCTTCTGAATCTTGATGTCAATTCCGCTTATTATGATCCCAAAACTCGGTCTATGCGTGAAGATCCTCTTCCAAACGCCGATCCAAACGAGAAATTCTATGCAGTAAGTGCCCGGAAATTTATATTTTGCAGCTTCATTGACATTGATCTCTGTTAACAATTTTGAAATGTGCCAGGGAGACAATCAATACAGAATGACTGGACAAGCCCTAGACTTCAAGAAACTCAATGTTCATGCGTGGGAATCATTTGAGAAAGGCCAAGCGGAGATCAACATGCAAGCTGCTCCCTCTCAAGCCGAGCTGCTTTTCAAGAACTATAAAGCAGCAAAGGAAAAACTGAAGAAACAGATGAAAGAAACCATCATGGAGAAGTATGGAAATGCTGCATCCAAGGAAGAAATCCCAAGGGAGCTTCTACTAGGACAAAGTGAGAGAGAAGTTGAATATGACCGTTGTGGAAGAGTTATCAAAGGAATGGTACTATATGGAATACTTATCGTTCACTCTTGGTGCAGTTTTAATCTTTCTACATACTCATCACTCCTTGGTAAACTTCAGAATTCATCAGTATACTACCAAACGTTTCGGCTTTAATCTGACTAGACATGCTTCAGTTAAATTTGCGCACATAAGTAAATGGGGCAGGGCTTTTTGTTTCTGTCAGACATGGTTAGTTTCATTGTCTTTGTTTTGTGCGTGTTTACAGGAATCTTCAGTACCTAAAAGCAAATATGAGGAAGATGTTTACATAAACAACCACACAAGTGTATGGGGTTCATGGTGGAAAGATCACCAATGGGGATATAAATGTTGTCAGCAAACAATTAAGAACAGCTACTGCACTGGAGTTGCAGGAATCGAGGCGGTTAAGGAAGCTGACGATCTGATGAAAACCAATATCGAAAGAAAAGCAAACTCGTATGGTTAGTACTGCACTTTTCTTAGTAGTTATATACATGGTTTGTTTGTTTGTCTTTTACATAGAGCCTTATCGATTATTGTAATGGCAATGTGGATGAATGCAGAGATGTCTGGTCCAGTAACAGAGAAAAGACTCGCGACTTGGGGAAGTGAAACGCAAGAAGATCTGGTTCTTGACAAGAAAAAACTCGCTGAAGCTCTAAAGAAGGTAAGAAATATCATCACCAATAACAGTTTTTGGTTACTTTATTATGTTGAGTGGTTTTACTGATGTCATTTGGTTTTTGACAACCAGGAGGATGAGAGAAAGAGAGAGGAGAAAGACGAAAGAAAACGCAAATACAACGTCCAATGGAATGATCAGGTATATCTATCATCATCACATCATCATCACATCACAACACATTGATTAAAGTTATAGAGCTATGTTTTGGATTATAGTGAGTTTATGACACATTTTTGTTTTTCAAAATTCCAGGTTACACCTGAAGAAATGGAAGCATATAGAATGAAAAGAATGCATCAGGATGATCCCATGAAGAATTTTTTGCACTAAAGTGGCTTTGTTAATATTAGTTGTAGTACTTAGAAAAATTTACGAGACAAGAAACCGAATTGGTTTTGTTATAAATTTGTTTGGTTTGTTATAAATAACCGAATCGAAATTAATGACGTTCAAATTTAACCAAACCGGGGTTTTTCCGGTTAAGTTCTTCCAACAAAAAAACACATGAATCTCGTCCTGTAGAGAAAGAATGAC